AATATCTTTGCTAAAAAAACAGGAGCAGCATTCCCTCTTAATTTTGGGGGTTGGGGAAATGCTATGCAGTATGGACATTGAGTATGAAACAGCTTAAGGTGTGTAGTAAAGGGGGGGGTCTGGGGCGGCAGTGTTCCCCAAGCAAAAACATCGCCCCAGGGACACTCCCCCCACTCATCACTCAGCTTATGTCTCCTCCCTACACACACTACTTTATATTAAATATAAAATTGAATGACAGAGTATTAGTTAATTGGGCGGGAGGGATTAAGTTACTTTATGAATTTGACAAAAAAAAGTAACCAAGGTTTTTTGGGCATAATATTAAAAAAATTTTAAAGGGGGAATGCCAAATACTCATAAAATTGTTTAAAAGACACCAAAAGAGCTAGCCCCCTTTTTCTAAATATTGGCTTTTTTTTTCTGGGCGTTTAGCTTAGATGACTGTAACATAAGGAGGGGAAATACAGGGGGATGTTGTGTTGGAACAGCACACACCCACTGCATAAAAAAATCTCATCTTTGAAAAAAGAGAAAGATTGAAATTGGACTCAACACGGAGAAGGAAAGCGTGTTCAACCTTTTGAACAAATCTGAAAACCATATCCAGATGAACTGAACTTTGCTACAATGAACACGTGGAGGTGTGGTGGAGGTGTGTGTCGGGCTTGCCGTCATTTAAAACACACGTGAAAACATGCACTGATCACTAGTTTCCTTCATCTTTGGAAAGTAAAATGTTTTGCATTTTTACCGAGTGCCCCCCCCCCCTTTGACACCCAAGTCCCCTAGGGGACTTTTGTGGCAAAATCAATGGCTTTTCACAAAATGAACGGTAAACTTCGGACACATCACGCCCACTGGAAAACTATCCCCCTGACTACTTCATGTATTTTTCTCCATCAAAACCCCTTTTATATAATAGTAAAAATTTTATCGGTCCTTTGCTTCACTTCAGTAATGTATATCTCCGTCTCCCCGGGGACTGATCAACAAATATCCTTGATTAAATCTCTGAAAGAAATTTAACGTCAGTTGTGCCTATTTGGTTTTATGACCGGGGGGAGTCAGTGTTAATGCCGGGGGTGCGGCTCACTAAACAACATATTCAACCCAAATATTTCATCCAAAATCAACAGGAAAAGGATGGTTTTTGTATCTTTGACATGCTCTAGAAATTTGCACTGAGGGGAAAAATAAAATGGGTTTCTTCTCAAGCTTCAAGGCAAAAATCATCAGTGTTTTTTATCAATACAAGTGGTTTTTTATATACCGCATAAAGGGAAATCGTTCCTATCAACAATTCACTGCCCTTGGAAATACGCCACTGGATATATCCACTGAAAAAAACCCATATAATGCTTTTTTTCAATTTTAAACTTTATGAAGAGGTATTTTTATAACAGCCCCCCCATAGGTTCTACAATCATCTATCTTGCAATAGGTACATCATAGGGGCGTACATCTTCTTTTAATAACGGAGATAACTCCCATGTCTCTGAAAGAAATTTATTTCAGTTAGAGTGTTCTTAAATCTATTTTTACCTCCCGAAAAGAAAGGGACATCCCAAAACGTTTTTTCGCCCTACATTTCTGATGTAGTCATCACCCGAGTAAAATCTAAAACATAGGATCAGGGATAAGGATTTTGGTGCCTTTGTTGCTGGGAAAGAAGAACGACTTGTGTGGGGGCGCCACCCGTCGACTGCCCTCGTATCTCTTTCTAACTTATAGCAATCTCCCCCAGTCCTTTTCTTTTTCAATAGGACATTTAAACTTTCTTCTTCTCAAATATCGATTTCGTCTACCCGGACAAATCAGATTTGCGATTTTCCTGGTAAAGGTACGGAAGTTAAAAAGCAGGTACATCGGGCCCGGGCACGAGCAGTGATTTAGGTTGCCCACTTCGGGGGCATTTTTTAATTACCTTGTTTCTCTGTTTTTTTAGTATTCAATTTGTGAAAATTCGTAATTGTTGCTAATGCTGCAGTTTCCAAAAATTTTGAGGTAGTAGATTGATCAGATATTTTTGTATGTCGCAACATACGTTTTTTAAATCTTGTGTGTAACAATGAAAAAGGCGTCGAGTTTTTTCCTTTTGGGCAAAAACCTACTCACTCTAAAATACAACTTTTTTTTCACAAGCAAATTTAAACAAGTTTGATCTTGTCGTCGTTGTAAGTACAAAATGGTTTGGATAATTTACAGATAACAATTTATACTTCTAAATATTTTGTTTGACAGCGTCAAACTAATTATTGGAAAATGTAAAGTAGCAGAAAATTTTGATTTTCCCCTTCAAAGCTGTGTCAAAAGGGCCCAGCGCTTCGTGGCCAGTTCATAGCACGGCCTGGTTCTCAACACATAAAATGGGTGTCTAAGTCATCTCAAAAAATTTAGGAACCATTATGCAGTTTTCTGCACATTAAATGTGTCCTGTGATCTATCATTTTGTTGTTTTCCCAAAGACGAACATTTTTTTGGAAATCTTCTTCTTCAATTTCCTCGTCCCTCATTGTGCGTCTGCAACAAAATGGGTGTTAACCTCTAAAAACTGTTCCTGAAATAGGACCGTGGGTAACGGAGGAGAAGGAATCTAACGAATGAGTCTGGATTTTCTTTGGTGGGGGGACCTTTTCCCGGGTCTCAGAGAGTCTAGATTGGGGCTAGGTAAGTGATAAGGGGTCTAACTGTACTATAGAGGGGAGTCTCCCACCAGCTACACTTGTACTATTGTGCGTGAAGGAGTACAAGAAATGAGGGCACACTAGGCCACTTCTGCTTATTTCTCTTTCTTTTCGTCTCAAAATAAGTTTTCTTTGTAATTGTGACCAAGACTTTTGAAAATTTAAACAGACATCTCTGTATGGCAGGAAAAAAATTTTCTTTTTTTAAGCTCTGACAGTTTTCTCGGTGTAATTCTTTTTTTACACACCCGAGTATTTGGGTACCGCCCAAACCTCTGAATTTTTTTGTATTAAAGACAAAGTCAGGTATCAAATTAAATGTTTCCTTTGCATACATCACGGGGAAAAAAGTGTACCGAGAGAGTGTTATGGGGAAACTAAAAACCTAATAGGGTTTTTTGGTTGGATATCTTAGAGTTAGAACCAAACGATTTCCCTCTCCTTGGATCAAAAATTTAGTCGGGACATCATCCCCTTTGTTGTACAAACTAAACTCAAAAATCTTCAGATTAGGAAAGACTCATGTTTGATAAGTTACTAGAATGTCCAAACGGACAATTTCTCCACACCTTGGATCAGAGCTCCCAGACAGGGCCCCCATTTGTTTCAAAAAACGTGATTCTAAAAAACTTAGAGATCTCCCGTGTACTGAAAGGACTGCCTTCTGCTCCGCCTTTACGGGTTTCGTAACAAGTAGTCATTTCCTTGTCCAATTTTCCATTAATTCAGTATGATTCAATATGCTTCAGGTTACAACTGGTGGCTACTATTAGAGAAATTAAAAAATTTTAAAACATTAAATTTCAATTGAGTTGTCAGGCGTAATCAAATTAAATTAAATCAATATCAAAAAATAAGAAAATCACTTCTCTCGATCAATATTTTGGCTGAAAGACTATCACATTTATAATTCTTAACACTGTCGGGACATTTAAAATTTCTAAGATTTTACAAAATTTTACAAGTATTTGTGTGTATGTGTGTAAGTGCTCTAAGTAGTTCGTATTCTACGATTCGACAGACTTAAACAATTGATGCAAGTCCTCAATAAAAAATAAGTCTTTACCAAGGCAATAGAACAGTCTGCTTGAAAAATAAAAAGACTGAAAACCAAAAGCAAAAAAACAAGCAAAAGGCGACACGAATCAGGGGAAAAAGGAGATAATTAACGACACTAAGTAGGGAATATTGCAGATCCTCCCCAAAAGTCACACAACTCCCATACTACTGAATCTAAGTTTAGCATAAAAAAACCCCCATGTGATAATACACGATACCCCTCAAAATTAGGTCAGAAAAATCAGCTCGGATCTGAGTTGTTCGGTGTTATGTACACACAACTCAGTACAAGTCAAAAAACACTTAGTCTATACAAAGTTCTGTGAACAATTCACAGAACTAACAAGAATAATAGAAAAACATCTGCCAAAAACCCCGCGAGTCTAAACCGACGAATACTTTAGGTGAGGGGGGACACCCCCCCCCCATCACTGAAGCTTGGGTCCTGGCAGAGAAACGAAGCCGGCAGCAAAGAGCCCCAAGCGATAATTTCGTAGTTAGACAATCAAGACTTTAACTGAGACATAAAAGTTAAACCACCTAACCAAAGGAATTTGTCAAATAACCATATAAATAATACATTTCATTTAGTATTATCACAAATAAAGCAATATAAAATTATATGAAAAGATAATAATTATTATATACAAATAACATTGCAACCATTCAGGTTGCAACAGTTTTATAAGTCCTTTTCCCCCTTTTTACATTTGACAAATTATCTTCTCAAGCTTTAAAAAATACGTACTGATGTACGTTCCACAAGCCTTCTGACATTAAAGTAAGTACATATAACAAGAGAAGTAGCTTTGCCTTTAAAAGGGTTGAATATATCTGGGAAACAAAAGTACTGTCTCTATATATGGTATGGGTCTTTTAAGCGATAGATTGGTTTGTTGATAGTTTTTCAGTACTATAATGAAACATTTCAGTTAAGTATAGGTGAATATTTGTTTTGGGAAAATTAGAAACATTGTTTTTTGAGCTAAGGCAACCCATCATTCCCCTTTATTATGTCTGTTTAATTTTGAGTTGTGTCGGGATGTTTAAGCAAACTGCCATTTGGGAAATAGACTGTTTAGGTTGTTAGTCAATTAAATTTTGCCTGACTTCAGAATATTCAAATTATTGCCAACATGTTTGAAATTTTGCTCAAAATTATCATGATTTTTGTAACTTTAAAGGTTGTGAATAGGTGATTTACTACCTAAAATATTTATTTCAGAGAAAGTAATATCTTGCAACTCGTTTCAGCCTTCATTCAGGGCAGCCAGCCTTCTATCTTAACCACAGCATCTGCTTCTGCAACTCTACAACCTGGCCACCAGCATATAGGTGGCGGTGGTGGTGATGTCCACATTTGTGGTGCTTGTGGGGCACAATTCACTGAGATTAAGGAGTTTGTCACACACAAAAGACAAGGATGTCATGGAAGCAGTGGCATAGACAGGGCCAAAATTCCCCAAACCCCTTAGCATCCCTCGGGTGTTCATCAGACACATCCAGCTCATGGTTCTGTGGTAAGTTAGGACACATCGTGATTTTTATCCTATTCTTTGATATAATTTATAATTTTCATGCACAGATTGTGGGTTTGGGGACAGTATGAGCCACTACAAGCCAGAATGACAAAGTTGCTGTATATGAAATGACACAGGTGCAACTAATGCGACATTTTGTGGCAATGTTTTTCTTGACAAAGATCCTGGAGAGCGAAACATTGCCACAATAAAATGTCGCTTTAGTTGCACTTGTGTTCTTTAGCCAACATATTGTCTATAATTCTCCCAACTTTATTTACGAATGAAGATGTCAGCACAAAAATTTTGTCAATTTAAATCTAAGATCTGTTATCCCACGCTTATTTTAAACCCAGTCTTTTTAAACATTCTACAACCCCCCGGGGTGCAACCCAAAACATCGACTAAACCCCCCGGTCCCCCTACTTCTAGGTGGGTGGGCGCAGGAAAGGGAAAAATTTCTCAACGTTTCCACCCATGCCAGGGATCCCAAAGCTGCTTAGTATGTTTTTTGAAAAAAATATTTTAAGGCTGTTTCCATTTTGGCTCATGGCCCTCAAAAGTATCCCTATAAAAAAAATAATAATAAAAATAAAAATAATAATAATAAAATATAGCCTCTCCTCCTTAGTAAGAATCGTTTCCGATGACTCAGCTTCGATGACCACCGGGAAGATACAGATAAGTATAATTTAAACGGGTTCCTCGTTCTGCTTTATCAGTGCCTCTCCTCACTTTAAGCAGAGTTCTGTCCTTAACCCTTTTTAGGGTTTTTGTCGTACTGTACGTTTTACGCGTAGGGTTTTTGAGTACTGTACCATAATTCTAGCGGGCCTAAATTTGGGAAAAGCGGTGGCCTTCATATGAAAGAAGGGTCTAGGGTCAGTGTGACAGTCTAAAAAAAAACCCGCAGACCCGGCATAATGAAAAAAAAAAAACTTTGACCCTTTTTTTGAAAAATCAGCGACTTTGCAGTGTATTTTCGATGGGATTTATTGTTGTACTAGTTTTTTTGGTTCATTTTTTTAAATGGAAAACATATTACAGAAATTGAAGATTTTGACTGGTTTTTACAAAGAAAAAATGCCTTGAAATTGAGCTCAAAGTAGCAGAAATGTTCATTTTACCAAACTTCAAAGTAAACAAACGTGCAAGCGTGCAAAACAGTAACGGGGAGTCTAATATTTTTTCACAATGCACCAAAAATATTTTTTACCATTTTTCATAAGCATAGTCTGATAAAAATAAATCTTATTTTTTTTGGAAAAAAAAAAATTAAAGTGGAAAACAAAAAAAATAAAGGGGGACTTTAAAAACAGACTAATGCTAAGGAAAAAGTCATTTTGTGCCGGAAAGTCTTTCTTGTTTTCTGGACCCTATTCCGAAATTGGCATCTTTTGAAATTTGTGTGAAATTGGCAAAATTGCTAAATTCTGACCACTGTACTGGATAGTTGAATTCATAAATGAGTGGTTTCTTGCATCCATTCGATAGAAAAAATGGAGTTCTAGCGAAATATTCATGTTTTTGTCGACTAGTACAGTGAAATTGGCCGAAAATGAGGCTCAAAGTGGGCAAAATCGCCGATGCGTAAACATCGCCGAGACCGCTAACTTTGCGAGACCATAATTCCGTAAGTTTTCTATCAAATTTCAAACTTTTGGTGTCTTTATGATCGGGAAAAGATTCTCTATCTTTTCATAAGAGAAAATAATTTTTTTTTTTTTAAATTTGGCCGACCCTGAGAACGAGTTTCGGAGAGGGCCTGTCGACCCTCAAAGGGTTAAGACCACGTCGGTAAACGAATTCGTCGCTAAGTGAGGAGCACACTTGAATGGTAGTGGGTTTGTGCCAGCTATCTTTGATATTGTTTTAATGTCACTTTGCACCATTTATAACATTTCTGGTATACAGTAGATTGTCGTTTAGCAAAAGTTTATTTGGCACGATTTGGATATATGTAGTAAGTAAGTTTATTCAGGTATACACAAATACAGTTACATAGAATTATCATACATAGCAGCATATGTGTAGAGAACCTAGGATAACCCAAAAAAGTCAGACAGAGTGACTTATTTCCAATTGCGGCACAATTTTATGTAACATGTCGTAAGATGAATGTAACATGGTTCAGTTTGCGGGAAGGAAAAAAAAAAAACTTCCATTTTCCTCAAGCGGCTGTCTTGATGTGGATCTGCAGGGGAGACCTCCCGCAGCCCCAGCCACCCCCCCCCTCCGACACCACCCCACCATCCCAGCATTTGTACTTCAAGTAATTGTCCAGTCCAACTTACCTGCTACAAGCTTGTGATTGTGAATTGTGTTTTGATCTTTTAATTGCTATATATTGTATCTGCCAAGCAATCATGACACCTAGTAGGCATACCAGTGTTGCTCAAAGTGGCAAGAAAAGGTGTAAGCTTTAAAGTCTTAGAATTAACGAAGGAAACAAAGATATTAGACAAGGCATCCTGTGGCCGCAATGAAGTGTTACTTTGTACACATAAAGAAGAGGTAAACATAAGTTTGTGTGACTGGCTGACTTACTGACTGACTGACAGACTGAGTGACTTGACTGACTTACTGAATGATTTGACTGACTTACTGAATGATTTGACTGACTTACTGAATGATTTGACTGACTTACTGAATGATTTGACTGACTTACTGAATGAATTGACTGACTTAATGAATTGACTGACTTACTGAATGACTTGACTGAGTTCCTGAATGACTTGACTGACTTACTGAATGACTTGACTGACTTACTGAATGACTTGACTGACTTACTGAATGATTTGACTGACTTACTGAATGATTTGACTGACTTACTGAATGATTTGACTGACTTACTGAATGAATTGACTGACTTAATGAATTGACTGACTTACTGAATGACTTGACTGACTTACTGAATGACTTGACTGACTTACTGAATGACTTGACTGACTTACTGAATGACTTGACTGACTTACTGAACGACTTGACCGAGTTCCTGAATGACTTGACTGACTTACTGAATGACTTGACTGACTTACTGAATGACTTGATTGACTTACTGAACAACTTGACTGACTTACTGAATGACTTGACTGACTTACTGAATGACTTGACTGACTTATTGAATCACTTGACTGGCTTACTGAATGACTTGACTGACTTACTGAATGACATGACTGACTTATTGAATCACTTGACTGGCTTACTGAATGACTTGATTGACTTATTGAATGACTTGACTGACTTACTGAATGACTTAATTGACTTACTGAATGACTTGATTGACTTATTGAATGACTTGACTGACTTACTGAATGACTTGATTGACTTATTGAATGCCTTGACTGACTTATTGAATGCCTTGACTGACTTACTGAATGACTTGAAACTTACTGAATGACTTGAAACTTACTGAATGATTTGAAACTTACTGAATGATTTGAAACTTACTGAATGACTTGAGACTTACTGAATGACTTGACTGACTTATTGAATGACTTGATTGACTGATTGACTTAAAGTTAGACACTCCAGTACAACCATCAAGTTCAGTACCAGAACCTCTACCATCCACCTCAGCCCAGTAGGACCACAGCATAACTCTCCACTCTCTTCACAGTCATCCACAAATACCAGCACCCACAATTTAAGGTGAGAAATGCATCACAACATAATACATCACAACAATGAACTACAATTACATATTCACTTTTATTTTTATAAGATATGGAAGCCTAAAAAAAGTTGTTTGGCTTTTTTGGGGCTCTGGAACGTAACCCTATTTTTCACCTAAGTACTTCAGTTCATCTAACACAGTCTTACCTAACACGGTGTTTTCAGGAATGTAACTACCGTGTTAAATAACGGTCTACTGTATTTTTAAATGTTGTAATAAACAGAATAGAGGAAATCAGCTCTAGTATACATTATTTAGGCATGTATACTGGTCAGAGAGCCCATCATAAGTCCAAGGCATCGGTAAACGAGTATGTCGCAAAGTGAGGAGAGGCTGTATACAGTACACCAGTGTAGAACATTTAAAAATATACCAGAAATGTTATAAATGGTGCAAAGATAACATGTAAACAATATCAAAGATGGTTGACACAGACCCACTACCATTATAGTATGCTTTTCACTTAGCGACAAATTTGTTTACCGACGTGGTCTTAGGAATGGAACTCCATCATTAAGTGAGGAGAGGCTGTAATAATAATAATAATAATAATAATAATAATAATAATCCATGGGGAAGTGAAACAGAATTCTTCCGTAAGCCATGCATGTTGTAAGAGGCGAGTAAAAATAATAATCCATGGGGAAGTGGAACAGAATTCTTCCATAAGCCATGCATGTTGTAAGAGACAAGTAAAATCCTGGGAGCAGGGGACTATTAACCCCTTCTCCTTTATATATTACTAAATTTAACAGAAGCTTTCATTTTTCCTTTTGGGCCACCCTGCCTCGGTGGGATATGGCTGGTTTGTTGAAAGAATAATAATAATAATAATTTAGGTATTAGGTTGGTAGACAGAAAACCGCCCAGGGAGGTACACTGTCTGCAAATTGGATGTAAAACGAAGTTTGTAATTTTTTTACATGATGTAGGATTGTTGTTTTTTTTCCTGTCTCACAAACTGAAGGTGTGGGTCGTCTTGTTAACCCAATTAACTTAGGTCACACTACATTTTCATGTAAAAGTTTTTATATATTTTTAAATATATTTTTTTTTTTTTCAAAAAGTCGGTCGCTCTCCCCGGGAAAGTGACCCAAAAACAAAAAGAAATCCCAAAAAGAAAAACTTTATCATCATTCAACACTTTCCCACACTCACCATTATCACTGCTTTTTGCAGAGGTGCCAAATACAACAGCTTAGAAGCTTACGTATAAAGATACAAAAAATCCCTCCAAACTCCCA